GCTGTCCCTCAGCTCTTCAGCTCAAGGCTAGCGCTCTACCACTTGAGCCACAGTGCCACTTCCGGCTTTTTTCCTTTTTGCTTATGTGGTGCTGGAAATTGAACCCAGGGCCTCATGCATGCAAAGCAAGCACTCTACCACTGAGCCACCTTCCCAGCCCCTCATTAATAATTTATAAGAACAAAAAAGTAAAGACTTGTGGATGGTTTATAGGTACAGCAGCAGCACTTTTACTTAGATTGTTAAAAATTCAAAATAATAACCCTACTAAGAGTATCTGAGGTGGGCCTTGGAATTTAATAAATTGCTGTGACTTTTTTTTCAGAATTTCTTTTTTATGGTGGTCCTGAGGCTTGAACTCTGTTCTTGGGTGTTGTCCATAAGCTCCTTTTGCTCAAGGTTAACACTACCTTTCAAGCCACTTCTGGCCTTTTCTGTGATTTAATTGGAGATAGTCTTACAGATTTTCTTGTCCAGGCTGGCTTTGAACTGCAGTCCTTAAATCTCAGCCTCCTGAGTCGCTAGGACTATAGGCATGAGAAACTACCATTGTCTGGCACGTAGTCACATGCTATATTTCTTCTTGTTGCACTGTCATGTTTTTTAGTAAGTTTTGTAGCTTTCTTTTTTCTTTCCTTTTTTTTTTTTTTTGGGTCCGGTCATGGGGCCTGAACCCTGGGCCTGGGTGCTGTTCCTCAGCTCTTCAGCTCAAGGCTAGTGCTCTACCACTTGAGCCACAGCGCCACTTCCGGCTTTTTTCTTTTTGCTTATGTGGTGCTGAGGAATCGAACCCAGGGCCTCTGGCATGCAAGGCAAGCGCTCTACCACTGAGCCACCTTCCCAGCCCAGTTTTGTAGCTTTCTCTATATGTATCTTTCATTAGATTCATTCCTGCATCTTTTTTTCCACTTAGTATAGCACTGAAAACTATTAACGACTCAGGGATGTATTTAGGTTTAATAAGATAAAGAAGGGAGAAAGACAAAAGAATGAGAAACATTTCCTGTTGAAAATGGAGTTAAGGACTCCATAAATGAAATCTACTGAGAATTGTTTGTTGTTCTTGGTATATAGAAGCAGTTTGTTCATCTATTGGCTTGATGTTGAGTGGTCTTTCTATATTCACCTTTCTGATGGTTAGAGGTCTTTTTATATTTTTAAAATCTATTGACACTAAATTCTTTCTCTTAAAAGTAACATAGAGCCGGGTGCCAGTGGCTCACCCCTCTAATCCTAGCTACTCAGGAGACTGAGATCTGAGGATCATGGTTCAAAGCCAGCCTAGACAGGAAAGTCCGTGAGACTCTTATCTCCAATAAATAAAACTGGAACTGGTGCTGTGGCTCAAGCAGTAGAGTGTTCACCTTGAGCTGAAGAGTGCAGAGAAAGTGCCCAGACCCAGAGTTCAAGCCCCATGACCGACAAAAAAAAACAAAAAACAAAAAGAGTTCTCTAGGGTCAAACAGTTAATGTTGGTAGATAATCATTAGATAGTTTGAACTGGGTTTTCTTTGACAGTGTTACTCAGAAATATTTAACTCTTTATTCTTTAGGAATCCTTTCAAGTCATCCCAAATATGGTTCCATCCCTAAACTTATATGTAAGTATGTATTTTTCTTTTCTTTTTCATCTAAATAAAGTTGTTATCAAACTTTGATACATTGTGACTTACTCATGGTAGTTATATGGTTATATCTTGTCCTTAAATGGACTACTTGGATATTGTTAGCATCAGAAAATGAATCATATAAAAGGCCTTTTTCTTCTTTTATTGTAATACAACTATTGAATTGAAATTATTTTGTAGGCTACATAGTATTGATTTAAAAAGAAAATTTTGTTCTGTCTAGGGAAAGTAGAGCAAATAACCCTGAGAACTGAACTTAATATTTTTGTGCTTATTCTGGGGCTTGAATTCAGGGGTTGGGTGCTGTCCCTGAGTTTTTTTTGGTCAAGACTAGTGCTCTGCCACTTGAGGCACAGTTCTACTTTAAGTTTTTGGGGGTTAATTGGAGAGTTTCACAGACTTTCTGGCCCCAGCTGGCTTTGAATCACCAATCTTTAGTTCTTAGCTTCTTGAGTAGCTAGGATTATAGCTGTGAGCTACCCAAGCCGACTTAAACTTAATTTTTTAAAAGAAATAGTTTTAAATTTATGTTGTTAGCTAATTTACATTTTGCAATTTTGGCTAATACAAAGAAAAAATTTCTTTTTCCAGAAAGTAGTTGAGGCATTTCATGAATCTTTCCATTAAAGTCTTTGTATTAAAAACTGAAACATGAGATAATGAGGATAGTATGTAGGTTAGAATTCATAATTCATTATTTTAAGGGATTTGTTTTACCTAGTTACATATTTAAAGCAACCCTATGAAAGTGGCTCAGTGCCTAACAAAACTAGTGTATTGGAATTGTTTTATCTTAATGAAACTTTATTTTTTTTTTAATTTTATTTTATTTTATTTGTGAACATACTGTACAGAGGGGTTACAATTGCATGGGCAGGATAATGCGTACATTTCTTACCAAGCATTGCAG